CTTTAATCATATGTACATTCTAACAGTGAAAGACAGAATCCTAAAGAAAATTCCAGAGCTGTGGGTTACAGATGCTAATGCTAATGCTAATGCTGGTGTGGGATCGGACTTTTAAAATAAAAACTGGATCTGGAGTCTGGATCCGATCCCTCCAGATATCGGATCGGGACCAGCTAAACTAAACCCTGACCAGGGAGACCTCTACAACCTCCAGGACCAGTTTTCCCCCCCCCACCCCCCTCGGGCAGAGACCGGACCTCTTTCAGGGCGGGCTCCACATCCACGTGGTCGGACAGGCCGTAGGCGGCCGCCACGAACATGGCCGTGGCCTCCAGGCCCTCCTCGAACTGCAGAAACACGCCCCCGATGTCATCCAAACGGGCCGTCAGGTCCTGGGGGGGGAAAGGGAACACGTCAGACCTGTTTAGTACATTAACCCTTTAAAGCCCGATCCAAGAAGAGAAGAAAATCAATTTGACATAGTTTCTTAAAAATAATCTTTTGGAGAATGGATAATAGTAGCCAACAGATTGTATCACAAAACCCAAGCAGCAGTCTTAATACATTTCACGATAATATAGAATTAAAGAGTTGAAAACAAGCACAAAATAAGCCTATTTCTTTTAGTTTTTTTTCTCCCTCTCCTTTATGTCTTTTTGCCTCAGTGCGTGTGCGTTATGAACCTGTGTTTTTTTTTTTTCACATACTGAAATGTGTTCATACTGTAGTCGCTTAACTAAATGTAGTTTCGGTAGTTGTGTTATTTGTATATTGTATATCTTCTTGTGCATTGTGAACATTATGAATTCCTTATTTGGCCTTTTAACAAAATATGTAAAAAGAAAAAAACAGAAATTAATTTGTATTATTACTATGCGATAAATCCTCCTCTTATAAGGTGTATCTGATAAATAAATAAATAAATAAATAAATAAATATATTTGAAAATAAACAAATAAAATAAATAAATGCATTTTTAGATAAATAAAATAAATAAATACATTTTTAATATTAATAATTTATCACTATGCGATAAGTCCAGATTATTTTTTGTGTAGTCTTCTGCCCCCTGTTATCAGGTGTATCTGATTGTGTACAATAGGATTTTGAGCAAAGTTTTTACCATTAAATTATGCAAAAGGAGTCAGACGCAAAACATTTCAGAAACCGTATCAAATATGACACATTTGGCATTACAGGGTTAAGATTCTCCAGTGTCTACACCAAAGAGTTTCATTGCTTCTATCTGTCTATGCTAGACAGTATATATAAAGAGAAAATAACTGGATTTACTGATTGCTTGATTTTCAACAGCTACAAAACATTAATTAATTAATATACCCCCACCTGCACTCATTAAATATTGTGGATTTTTTAAAAATCTATGTTTTTCCCATCGTGCAATACAAGGAGAGAGAAAGATCTTTTTATTTTTTCTCTGCTCCGAAGCAAACTTTTTACCCATTAATCCATCGATCCATTTCCTAAACACACTTTATCCAATGAGGGGTCAGCAGCAATTCAATGGCTTAATAATTAAATAAAATATTAACTCGTAAAAGTGAACTTCTCTTTTTACCATTAAATTATGCAAAAGGTGTCAGACGCAAAACATTTCAGAAACCGTATCAGATATGATACGTTTGGCATTATGGGGTTAAAAAAAATAGTCTAATTTGACAGAGAAAGCAGCGGGTTGGCGCCACCTGGTGGTGAAATCATAAAAGCTCACCTCAATTTCCTCCAGAACCGTCCCGACTTCCGCCTTATCAGAAAGGCGGGAGGCGGTCTGCAGGGCCAAGATGATCCTGAACAGAGAAAGAAGAAATAAATGAAGCTTCATAAAGAATCACAGCCTTTCCATCCGATTGGTTCACTCAAATGTCGAAAATTCACGGCGCTTCATTTGGACAATAAATGTAAAACGTACAGTGTGATTATAATGAGACTCTGGCTATGGTGTCTGAATTAATTAATCAATCAGATACAGCGGGGGAAATAAGTATTTGACCCCTTGCTGATTTTGCAGGTTTGCCCACTTACAAAGAATGCTTATTTTTCCTCATCAGATGGTTATCAGTTTTTATGAATTCATATGATGTGATTTTCTGGAATCTTCTTTGGGATTCTGTCTTTCACTGTTAGAATGTACATATGATTAAAGTTATAGATCGTTGCATTCTCGTTGCCATGACCTCGCGGGACGCAGCTAATGGGGATCCTAATAAAACTAAACTAAGCTAAACTAAGCTAAACTAAGCTAAACTAAGCTAAACTAAGCTAAACTGAAACTAAACTAAACTAAGCTAAGCTAAGCTAAGCAAACCAAAACTAAACTAAGCTAAACTGAAACTAAACTAAGCTAAACTAAGCTAAGCTAAACTAAATTAAACTGTCCAGGCCTCCAGGGACTGACCCCCCCCCCCCCCTCAGAGGGTTAGGGTTAGGGTTAGGGTTCGGGTTCGGGTTAGGGTTCGGGTTAGGGTTAGGGTCCGAACACCTACGCCATGACGTTGTCCTCCTTGTTGATGCGCGCCGTGATGGCGGCCATGGGGATCCTAATAAAACTAAACTAAACTAAGCTAAACTAAGCTAAGCTAAGCTAAACTAAGCTAAACTGAAACTAAACTAAACTAAGCAAACCAAAACTAAACTAAGCTAAACTAAACTAAACTAAGCTAAACTGAAACTAAACTAAGTTAAGCTA